GACAATACCCTGTATCTGCTGCTGAGCTGTCTGCTTTGCAACATTGTCGGCTAAAATGTTCCAATGATGGAAACAATGACTCTTGATGTGGTGCACTTCCAGCGGCCCCCTGACCCTGGCCACTCGATAAGCAATGCGCGCAAGCATGGCAAGTTTATCCTCTTTACCTGAGACTGCTCGACCCGCGACCAAATCGATAGCCGACTTGGAGTCCGACCAGATCTGCACCAGTTGAGTCTCGTTGCGTTCTCTGTCGCATAGAACGGCAATCGGCGTCCATAGCAACGCAAGCAACTCAACGTCAGTGCTGTCAAGGCGCTGGCGGTGGGGCTCGATCATGCAGCTGTGCTGCCACTCAGAAGTCCAGAATCCCTGGAAAGCCGAGTCCCCTTGAGGATCCGTCGAGACGCGAATTATCGCCCACGCCGCCACATGATTATCTCCACGCCTCTGATTCTCGAAATGCGAACCGTCAGTGTAGTACGAAATGGTATCCCTGTCCCTCATGGCCTTGGTCGGACAGAGCTCTAACGCAATTCTAGCTGGGGCTTCGACGTCCTGAGTTTTGACCCTGAAGTTCCAGGACGGAGCAGTGGCTTGACCAGCCAGTTCCCAAAGCGACGGCTCACGCGGTAGCATGACCTTGCGCACTTCATTCCCCGAAGCAGGCTCAGTCCACAAGCACAATCTGTCTCGGGCGCAACCGTCGTCCGACACATCACACCCAAAGGGAGAGGGGAGAGGGCGCGGTGCAAATGCACCCATAGGGGCTGTCTTCGCTTGTAAAATTCTCTCACCTCCAAGCGGCCCATCATTCCCCTGGGCACTGAGATCTGCCCCTACTCCATTAGGGACAGAAAACGAATTGCCTGTGACAGACGATGGCAGCTCTTCTTTTTCACTCGGCTGCGAAGCGAAAGAGGCCGAGCGTCCGCCTCCAAGTCGGAGAGGCGGACCAGCAGAAAGGCTCTGCTGAACAGACCGCTGCTCATCGATGAAGGCAGAACCCCTGCACCCTCCTCGCTCGAGCTGTTTAGCTCCAGCTGTTCTTGGTGCGGGGGGGTCGTAAAAGCAACATGCAGATGCTGAGGCCTCGGAGGCAGTGCCCTCCCAGGTCTGAAAAGCTAGGTTGTCCCGCGCTGGCACGGACAGCAACTGACTGAGTGGCTTGCGCTGTGCAAGCTTGTGACTATTTTGAGAGGCAAAAGCACTGGTTGCAGGTCTGGCCACAGAAATGTCCTCCCCCCTGGAGGCTCTAAAAGTCGGCTTCGCCTTCAAAATGGATGCTGGCCTCTCTAAAGATGAATGAACTGGGCGAGGTGGTTCATCATTCACGAAAAACTCACGAATCTTCACACTACCGAACGTCAGTGTCGCTGAGTCTTTTGTGGTGGCGACCTGATGGGGCTCGTCTGTGAGGGACTCGCCAACTGCGTCGGTGCCTCGGCCGCCGATAAGGCTGCGTGTACCTGATCGATCTCCATAACCTGCCTCTCGATCTGGTCCTGAGTGGTCTCCACCTCGATAACTCCCGTTATGCTCACCTGTGGTCCCGATATGCTCTCTACCTCCTGGGGTGGCCAAGGCTGCGTCGGCGAGATGGGTTCGACGGGTAGAGGACCAGGTACTTCCTCTGCTAGCTCCAAGGTATTCTGAGTCTCCTCTAGGTCCTGCTCGATGTCCAAGAATTCGTCCTTGGCGTAGGGATCCCTCTTCATCGGTGCGCTGGGCGACCTCTGAGCTGCCTGCGGTGATGTAGCTGGCGGCGTTGCTGGCACTGGTGTGTCTGTGCCACCAATTGGTGTCGGTGAGCGGGGGGCGCCACCCCCCCGCAGAAAAAGGGGTCCCTTTCCCTTCTCCTCCGCAACTTGAGGCGCTGCTCCTTGATGTGGCTGAGGGACGTCTCCCTGCTGAGCTGCACGCTGCGCCTCCTCTGCTGCGAAATGATGCAATGCTGGATGCATCTCTGGCTGCTGAGCTGTCTGCATTGGCGGCGGGAAGACCGCCTGCGCTGGGACCTGTCCAGTGGGCAAGGGCGGCACTTGCTGCTGCGGCGACATCACCTGATCTGCCCCACTCTGATGATGCTGCATCTGCGCCGCCGCAGCCGCCTGGTAGTTGAAGGCCTGCCACATCTGTCCCATGATGCGCTCCGTTTCGTTTTGCCTGTTCGCCATGCCCACCAGCAGCCCTCTTATCTCCGCCATATCGTTGACGGACTCGAACGTTCTGTCTGGCACTTGCTGCTGGTACTGATGATTGTGCGGCGCATACTGCTGCTGTGGCTGCCCAGAGCATCCACTTGGCGCGCAGCCCCCTGCAGCTGCCATCTGCTGCTGCATGTCTGCGGCTTCCTCCTCCATCATATCCTGAATCTCCTTCGCACATATCTTGTACTGTGTGATTTCGCTGATGATGGCGGACTCCTCGATTTGTAGGTCCTTGATGCGTCCCTGCACGTTGGCTAAGCGCTCCTCCGCTCCTTCGAGCTTGGCCTGATACTCTGACTGCTGTTGCCGCAGGGACATCGTCGACTGTGCCATGCACTTGAGTGTCGCAATCTTTTTGTCGTGCATGTCCGCCAGTGCGTGCTCCTTGGCACGCCTTGCTGTCAGTGCTAGGATAGCGAAATCCGTGAGCTGTTGCCTGATAGTGAGGCGAAACTGATGTTGCTCTGCGCTGGTTTCTGGCGGCTGTCTGAAGATCTGCTCTGCTGCAGCTTCCTCTTTTGTCATCGGAGGCACACGCTGAATATACTGACGAATGTCCCTGTCCGAGAAGCGCGTGCGACTGGCTGGGCGAGTGTCCCGCCCTCCCCCTTTGTGAGCAGCTCCCTTGCCGTAACCGTACCCCTTGCCGCCTTTGTCTTGAGCTGACGGAGCCATGCCTGGATGGTACCTTTGTCCACAGAAACACTGCGCATGATGCTTGACATACCTTCCACACTGTGTGCAGTCCCATGTCGGAATCCATCCTCTCATAGTCAACTCACTCAAATTCAGATTGCTAGTCACGGCCTGCTGGGCCGAATGGTGCGAGGCGAGCTCCAAATAGGCCCGATGGAGCCTCACGAGAGTCCTCGCCTTGGACCTTTCTTGACGGGCCCGTCGATGTGCAGCTCCCTCCTGGGGGCGCGCCGTGACCCAAGGCGCGCCGAGGCAACTATCGCGGGGCCCGAGGCGCGGCACGCTCTGGCGTGCGCGACGGGGTTCGGCCGAGCAAAATCCCTGTGCTCAGGCCAAACCCTCTCCTCCTCCTCCTCCTCCTCCTCCTCCTCCCGTTCTCGGCCTCGAGAGCGAGACCGCCCGCCGACGAGGGCCCCGCAGCGAACGCCCCACGGAGGTGGGGCTGGATGCGAGAGGCACTCCGGGAGCGGCGTCGGCAGGGTCCTGCCGTGGCGGCGTGAGTCGTGGCATCTGTCCCCCCGCGGAGGTCGTTCCACCTTGGACGATCTCCCCTGCTGGAGGTCCCCGAAGGCGGCAAGGGCCTTCCTTCAGCGTTGGACGACGGCATCCGCGCTGCCGCTGCGCCGATACGGCGCCCCTCTCCTCCATCGTTTTGCGTGTGCTGCTCGTGCAGTGGTCCATCGAGGCTCCCGACACCTTCCCTGGGGGCAGATGTGAGGCCTCAAGATGGCCCTCCAGAATCGCCCCAGAGAACCCCAGCCAGGGCCTGGAAGAGGCCCAAGACGACCCCAAGAGCGCCCCGAGAACGCACCAAGAGGGTGCCACGAGGCGAAGCTTCGAGCTCCAGAGGAGCAACGCTGATTCAGGACCCCTTTTCTGAGTCATAAGCGACATCATTGATTGTAAAACCAGAGGTGTTTGAACGAGCATTGGCATCGTGGGATATCCTTGACAGGCTCTGGGGATAAGATGGCTCCAAGACGGCCGCAGATAGTGCAAGATGGACTGCAATATGGCGCAAAACGGTCCAAGCTGGCTCAAGACGGCCCCCTGCATGCCTGCAAGGGTTCCCAAGACGGCCCCAAGACAGCTCCAGGTGGCCTCGGAGCCTCCAAAGACCGCTCTTCAGCACCTGTGGCTTATCATTATGCTTTGCTTGCCTGTGCATTCGCACCTGGATGGCTTCTGAGGCCTCACGATAGCCCCGAGATCGCCCAGGAGGGCCCAGGGGGGGCCCAGAAGGGCTCCAAGATGGCCACAGAGGACCTCATGGAGCGCCCCAAGAGGGCACCAAGGCACGATTCTTCGGGTTTCAGAGGGGGGGGCGCAATTTAGGGCCTTCTTGAAAAGACGAGGCCAGGACGAGGACAAGATCGGACCAGGATAAAGTAGGGATCTCTGAAATCTGGCGGCCCTGGAGGCTGCATCGGGCGCCGAGGCCGTTCCAGAGGGCTCCGGACCACTCCGAGAACGGTCTGGAACGCTCCGCGGCGGTGATGTATCTTCGTTTAGGTCGGGCCTGTCCCCCTACAGGCGGATTTTGGACGGAAAATAAAAAGTATTGCCAAACAGATTCAAAAATGCTGAAAAATGCTTTAAAAAATCGTACCCATGCTATGTTTTTACCATTTTTGAATTTTCCTCCTGTAGAGGGACAGGCCCGACTCAATCCCAGTCCCGCCCGACCTTTCCTTGTGGATCGATGGAGCGAGGCCACGAGATGCCACATCCGAACGGCCCAACTGGTCACGGCCGGTGAAGAAGGTTGTGGCCCGGTGGAGCACCTTGTCCCTTCAGGTTTGTGTGCTGCACGGCCTGGCCTCAAAAAGAGACAGGGGCTGATTCGTCCCCCGTGCAAAAAAAACTCCCATGCAAACAAATCGGCAGCGAGCGAGGAGGGGAAGCGAGAAGGAGAGGGCCCTCTCAGGATCTGCGGCGGGACTTCTCAGGAGGCCTCGCGCCTTCCGCGAAGTTGGTGTCTTCGGGGCAGGCTCAGAAAACTTCTCAGGAGGCCGGGGGACTCCCGAACCTTCTGAGAAGGCCGTCTCCTTCTCCCCCTCGCTCGCCGCCGAACAAAAATCTTGCGCCGCGGACCTACGCAGAAGCCGCCCGCCTGTACACGAGATTGTGGTGGCCAGGGGGCGTGTCCTGCCCTCCGGCGGAGCACTCGCTGTGGCACTGGCAGACCCCGGGGTGCTCAGACGTCCAGAACTCCATGTAGGTGTAGGAGAAGCAGAACTTCTCGCAGTCGGGGAGCCGCAGCATGTCGGGCGCCTGTTTGTCTGCCAGCCTGCTGGCGTCTTCCCTGCAGCGCCAGTCGCGATGGGCGAGGCTCCACGTGCTGCCGCTGGCGCTCCCGCCCCCACACGCGCAGCAGGCCTCGGCCGCAGACAGCCCGCGCCCCAGCACCGCCACGCTGGGGACGGGGATGCCGCCCGAGCCGTTCCAGCCAGGCCCGAAGTCCCCCGACGAGGTGCAGAGCCGGCCCTGCTCGTAGTCCTCGCAGGAGCGCCCCGCGGCGTCCTGCCAATCTTCCAGGAGGTCCTCGCAGGACGCGGGCGCCCCTGCCTGGGCCTCCACCGCCGCGCCCTCTTCGTCGCCGGCATCGTCGTCGTCCTCGTTCGCGCCTCCAGCGTCTGGCGCCCCTCCCTGGGCCTCGACCGCCACGCCCTCGTCGGCGCCGTCACCGTCGTCGTCCTCGTTCGCGCCTCCAGCGTCTGGACCGCTGGTGAGCGGCTTGCACGACCAGGACGTCTGCTTTCCTGGGGGGTCCCAGTCCTCGTGGATGCCAGGCTCGCAGCCCTCGATGCAGGCCGCCCACGTCTCGTCCTTCTCGAAGCACGTGAGCGCGGGGTCGGAGCAGCACCGCGATGCCAGGCAATTGCCGTTCACCTCGGTGCATTCCGCCTGGAGGAGCCCCACGGCGCCCTCGCGCCACTCGGGGGCCATGGGCGCGGCCGCTCGGACGCCCCCGGCCTGGCCCCAGGCGACGACAGCCGCCGCCCCGGCGAGGACGCCCGCGAGCGCCGCCAGCCGGCGGGGCAAGGCGCCCCAGGCAGAAGGCCTGGCGAAGCACGGCTGGGCCAGCTGGACGTCCGCCTGAGCAGCGTTTATCCGACCCCTACCCCCAACGGCGCGGCCTGGGCCCCACTGGCCGATGTACCCCCACGGATGGGGATATGGGCTGTTTTGGGGGGGGGTCGGGCTTCGAAGGGCATCTAGCCCCAACTGGGGTGCTGAGAGGGTGGGGGTCTGGATCTGCATGGGGATGGGGGCAGGGGTTGGTTGCACGATACTGGGCGCCGCCTCCGCGGCGTCGTCGTCCGCCCCCGCCTCCTCCTCTGGGAGCGGCTGCCGTCCGCACCGCTCCAGGCCCGCGGGGGCGTGCGCCCGGACAAGCATCCCGCCCAGCCCTGGCCCCAGGGGCGCCCTCCCCGAGGGCGCAGCAGACGAGGCCCCTCGGGATGCCTCTCGAGCCAGGGCGCCTCGAGCCAAAACGGCTGCGGAGCTCCCGCCGAGGGCGAGGTGCCACCCCCGGGGCTCCTCCAAGACGAGGCCCTTCCGAGAGGGGCCCACGCCGGCACCGTGCCAAAGGCACCGACTCGGGTGCCCTCGGGCCCCTTGAGTTCTGCGCGCTGAGTTCTGCAAAAACGGTTTCGGTGGCCCAGGGCCCGGGTTTCCGGGCGATGCGAGGCGCTCCCGGGCGGCCCGCGTGACGTCCGTGGGGGGTCGACACTGTCAGCGGGGCCTCGGATGGTCCCAGGCACCGTCCTGGAACCCTCTTGGGCGCCTCCCGGGCCAGCTTGAAGGCCGCGCTGGGCCAGCCCAAGAGGCCAGCGTCCATGGAAACACCATGTTGAAGTGGAGCAGTTTCCGTCATCGGAACGCCGAAGACGGCCCAGCAGGCCCTCAAGATCGCCCCAGGACGGCCCCACAAGCTCGCAAGAGGACCCAGAGGCTCACAAGACTGGCCCCAGAGCGGGAGCATGAGCTCACACTCGAGCCCGACGGCCCCAAGAGAGCTGCAAGAAGCCCCCAGGAAGCCTCAAGAGATCTGCAAGAGGCCTCCAAGAATCCCAAACTCCCAAGAGGCTCCCTGGAGGCCTCCAAGAAATCCCGAGGAGCCTCTGAGAGGCCCCGCGTCCACGACCCAGACGCGGCAGCGGGGAGGGCCGAAGGCTCATGCAGTCCTGGGCGGTAGAGGCTTCGCACCACTCTTTCCTGCAGGGCCCAGGCCCCCGGAGTCCCAGGCACCTGAGGGGGGCCTCTCCAGGCGCTGCAGGGGTCTGCCGCGCGGGCCACTGGGGCGGTGCCCCCGCCCACAGCGACCCGAGGAAGCCCCAAGACTTCCTCCGAAGCGCCCAAGGGTGCCCAGGAGCACTCCGAGACGACCCCAGAGGGCCCAACGACTGGCCACCTCTAGACTGATGGGCCTGTTTTCCACCACCACCACCACCACCATAAGTTGGAGGGGGAGGTGGTCCTCCTCCTCTCCTCCTCCACCTCCACCTCCACCTCCACCTCCTCCTCCCCCTCCTCCTTCTCCTCCTCCTCCTCCTCCTCCTCCTCCTCCTCCTCCTCCTCCTCCTCCTCTTCGTCCTTCTCCTCCTCGTCCTCCTCCTCCTTCCCCCTTTCAACTTATGGTGGTGGTGGTGGAAAAAAGGCCCATCATAGACGGCCCAATAACGGGACATCCCTGGAAGCACCACCAGCCAGGGCCAGAGGGGCGGAGCAATCTGATGGCGACTTGCCTCAGCCAGGACAGCATCTGCCCCAGCCCGTGTGGGCACACGTGGGCACGCACGACACGACGCGAAGCCGAAAACGGGCTCCCGACTTGTGGACTCCGCTTCGCCTCGATCTCGTCCCCCAAACCTCCGATCAGCGCTCAGCTTGGGATGTCCAGCCCTCCACCGGCCAAGGTTGCTGATTTCAAGGAGCACCGTCCTCTCACTGGTCCTGCGCAGGGACCGCCACCGTGCGCAGGAAATCATGAGTTGCTTTGCAATTCGCTTCTACATCCCATAATCCGTGACTCGTTTACATCTATGCCCCAGGCTTTCTACGCTATGTTGTGAAATCATTGTTTCTCTGACATTCGCCGTTTAGCCGTATGAGATGCGCTATTGTATTATCACTTGCTTGTTTTGTCAGTTGCTCCTGCATTCCAGAATCCGTGTGCGGGCGCGGCCGCAGGAAACCCTCGCAAGAAACCCAACCCTGAAAACCCGCGCGCGAGGTGCACCCGAGGGGAAACCCGGAGCACCCTGAAAGCAGCAGCTTCTTCAACGGCTGCGGGAAGTCACCGCGCAGCGCGCGCAGCGAAGAAACCCAGGGTACCCTGACGAAAAGCATATGGTTTCTTGATGCGCGCCCCCACTGTATATGCCTACAGGCTTTCTACGCTACGTTATGATATCATAGGTTCTCTGAGATTTGCCGCTTAGCCGTATGAGATGCGCTGGTGTGCGATATCTGACTTATGATGTATAATAGTATGTTTCGTGAAAGTCTGAAGAGAACCTTTCGGAGGGGGCCCAACTGTGTTACCCTCCGAATCAGCTTGCAGCAGCGCGTTGTACAGAACGCCATTGCGCGCCAGCATTTGCCCAACAGACAGCCACTGGAGGGAAGCGAGAAAATGGATGGCATGGTCAAACGAAGAAGGGCGGCGCGGCGAAGCAGCCTTCAGGGAAGCATGCTGCGGACCCACTCCAGGATAATCAAGCCCAGCACTAATGGAATGCGTCTCCTGCGCCATCAGCATGAACCAAAAGGACAGGCACAAGAGCAAGCAGGGCAACAAATACCAGAGCAGAGACATAAGATTGATCAACAGAGGATGGCTTTATGCGGGACCTCTCGGAAGAAGGAACGGAAGCAGAGACAGGCAGGCAAGAAATGGTGGGCTAGATGTTTGGACCGTGATCCGACTGGCATCTGCACTGCTCCCTGGCGAAACTCCGCACTCGCTGTGTACCCAGCGGCAAACAGAACGGACAAAGTTGCCTGAAGACGCATGTCACAGCCCCGGGCGACGCTATCAACGAGCTCGACGACCACGAGGTCTCCGAGGGCCTCCAGTGCCCAAGAGGTCCGCGGAGATCCTCCGAAAGACCCTGGAGGCCCAGAATGATCGACGACGAAGAGGAAGGGCTGGGAGTCTGCTGCGTTGGCGAGCGGCGGACGGGGCTCTGCGCTGGGCCCCCCCGTCGACGCGAAGCGATGCGCCACTGCTCGTTCCTTCACCGCTGCCTCTGCCTCGCCTTCCCCCTCCCCTGCCCTTTGCCTCCCTTTGGCTCCTTCCCTTTCTCCGGTATTCCCTCCGCTCGGCGCCCCTCCCCCTCTCCATCTTTGCTCCTCCCTCCCTCTCCCCCTCTCCTAGCCCATTTCTCTTGTTGACTGTCTCTCGCTCTCTCTCTCTCTCTCTCTTTCTCTACCTCTCTCTCTCTCGCGCTTTCTCTCTCTCTCTCTCTCTCTCTCTCTCTCTCTCTCTCTCTATATATATATATATATATATATAAATATATATATATATATATATATATATATATATATATATATATATATATATTTCTCGTATGTTGCTTCTCTCTCTCTCATGTATCTCTCTCTCTCTCTCTCGTTCTGTCTCTCTCTCTCTGTCTCTCGTTCTCTCTCTCTCTCTGCCTCTCTCTCTCTCTCTCGTTCTCTCTCTCTCTCTCTCTCCCTCCCCCGCCGCCACCATGCCCCCCTGGCACGTTGAGTCGTGGTAGAATGCCGAGTGTTGCCTGGCAGGGTTTCTGCAGGGCTTCTAAGGACCACCCCCCCCGCCTCTCGAAGCGTCCACATGCGTGCACTGCCCCCTCTCCCCGAGGCCCCATGGGTTGCCTCACACATCCCTGGCGCCCTCCAAGGCGCCCAGAATGCCCAAGATGGCGCCCGAGACGGCCAAAGGAGGCCACCGAGGCCGCCAAGACGGCCGCAGAGCGCTCCGAGACTGCCAAACATGGCTCTAAGGCGGCCCGCGAGGCCGCCGAGGCGACCCAAGGGAGCCACCAGAGCATTCCCAAGAGAGTCTCGGGAAATAACACACTCTGATACGCCGTCGCGCTTTCAACGTTTGCGGGGTTCTCGCCTTTTCGAGCTTCGGACATCCCAAGAAGACCCAAGAGGCCACCAAGACTGCCCCAAGACGGCCTAAGAGGCTCCTTGGAGGTCCCAAAACTGCCCACGAGGGCTCCAAGACGGCCCAAGAGGCGCCCAAGATTGCCCAACAGGGCTCCAAGACGGCCCCTAGAAGGGTCCAGGATGAACACGAACCAACAACGCAAACTTCCGCCCCAGGAGGGCTCGGGACGCACGAAGAAAGCCAAAAAAGGCCCCCAACTGGGCCCCGAGAGGCAAAAGCTACTGATGCCCCTTACCCTTTTCAACGTTGTTGGGGCTCTCGCCTGTTCGAGCCTTCGACACGCCCCAAGACGGCCCAAAAGGCCCCCCAAACCCACCCGACACGGCTCAAGAGGCCATCAAGACTGCCCCAAAAGGGCCCAAGGGGTCTAAGTCTACAAGACGGCCCAAGAGGCGCCCACGACTGCCCAAGAGGGCCCCAAGACGGCCCCAAGAAGGGCCTAAGAGTGGGAATGCGAACCCAGAATTCTAGGTTTCTGCCCCGAGAGGCCCCCAGCAGGCCCTTGTGCCTTCTCGAGTAGATGCCACACAAAATGCTGCGCTTGCACGGTGGCGGAATCGCCAGAGGCAGCTGGATACCATACATAAATGTGCAAATATGTTCGTACACATATGCGTACCCCCACATGTACATACGAACTGCTTATGACCACAAATATGTAAAAGTTTCTGCACGCACTTCATCACCCGCATCGCAAATATCGTGGTCATCATCGAGGGCATGAAATACAACTGACATCGTTCTCAGCATCACCAGCTTCCTCATCACCATCACCTTTACCATCGCCATCGTCACCATGACCACCGCGTCATCACAAACCTTCTCAGCATCACCATCGCCATGCTGATCCGCACCATCATCACCACCAGCAGCATCATCGTCGTCGCCGCCCTCGTCATCAGCACCTCCATCATGACCATCATTATCATCATCGTCATGATCACCATCGCCGTTGTCGTCGTCGTCGTCGTTGTCACCGTCGGCAGTGTCGTCGGCACCATCACCACTCGTCCGCCCATGGAATTGGTCTGCATGAGACGGGACCTCGCGTCACCGAGCCGCTTGGCTGCGCCAAACACTGCGAGCGCGCGGGTGGAATGTCTGCTCGACCATGGGAGTTGGCAACATAAACACAGTGTCACAAGTTAGAGGGAAAAGAACTATGCACATGCACCGATTCTGGCCAGGCCCATCCTGAGCCCAGGATCGGTGCATACGCCCTCCTACCTTGGCCAGGAAGGCATATGCACCGATCCTGGGTCAAAAATGGGCCTTGCCAGGATCGGTGCATGTGCATAGTTATCTTCGCCCGACAAGTGCCTGCGCCATCGGTTGGGGACGCTCGCGCCTCCAAGCGGGGACCTCGCTGGACACCGCGCGGAATCGCATGGCCATACCGCTGCGCATCGCCGGAGGGATGCAGGACAGCTCCTCTTCCAGACGGGGCGCTCGTCGGCACGGCAGGCCCACGGAGCGCTGGTCTCCCGAGCGCTCCGTGCAGCGCGGAGGGAAAGCCGGCAGTGACGTCTGAGAAGGGAACGACCGCCCCTGCGGACAGCCGTCCAGGGCCTACCGGAGACCAGGTGGGCGAGGCCGTGGCCTCTGAAGTTAGTGTCGCGTATGGTGAGGCCTGCATGCGAGGCGCGTGTAAAGAGTGGTGCGAAACGGAGGGGAGGGGAGGAGAGGGGGAGGAATCCTTGTAGTCAGGCCGTCACGGGGGGTTTTTCCCCTTCCTCTTCAGGCCTTTAATGAGCCCCCTCTTCCTCCTTCCTCGTCCCCGAAACTCCTGGGCCCGTTTTCTCGGTCCTTTTCGGCCCCCGCCCCTCTGGCGGGAGCATGTGTCGGGGGGAGACCCCCCCCCACGCGCCTCGGGCGCGCGCGCGTAGCTTCGGCCGCGCGGACGGCTGCGTCCAACTGGACATCGAGCCGATAGCGATAGCGATAGCGAATCCTTGTAGTCGATGTCGTGGTGTGTTGGTGCCACGTCGCTGTGTTGGTGCCACGTCGCAGTGACTTCTGAGAAGGGAACGCGGGGTGGGACGGTGGGTTGCAGCCTCGTTTGTGCATCGCGGGCTTACTCTGGTCCTCCTCCTCCTCCTTTTCCTCTCTCCTTCTTCTTTTTCTTATTATTATTCTTCTTATTTTTCTTCTTATTATTATTATTATTATTATTCTTCTTCTTCTTCTTCTTCTTCTTCTTCTTCTTCTTCTTCTTCTTTTTCTTCTTCTTCTTCTTCTTCTTATTCTTGCAAGCGTTCCCGAAAAAAGGATCCCCCAACGGCTGGGCGAACACCTAGTCCAACAGCGCGGCCAGACTTTGGCCAACATTTGGCCGCACAGGCGCTTCCGAAAAGCAGCGGGCGGCGGTGGTTCGCCGTGGACATCTGTGTTCTGCCGCCCCCCGCGCTTGCCACAGGGGTGCTTGGCATGCCTGATGCTCAAACTGTTCAAGGCCCTTCCAGAAAACTCCCAGCGGTCTTCGGCCCGATCTGCCGGCCACTGCGAACCTCCGCCCCGCGCCCAGAAATCAGCACGAAGCCCAGGAAGGTCCCGTCAATACCACCAAAATTGCGTCGCATGGCCTCCAAGACGCCCCAAGACTTCCCCAGGCGGCAAAGATGGCCCCAGGAAGGCCCAAGCAGGTCCGCGAAGCATTGTTGGGGGTCGGGGCCGTCTTCGGGGCCCAAGGGGGCGGTCCTTGAGGCTGGATGCATTGAACGAGCCGTAGGTTTTCAAAAGCATCTCGGAATTTCACCATTTCGTGCTTGAACGGGCCTAAGACAGCCCAAGGGGCCCCCAAGAACAGCTCAAGGTGGCGCAGGAAAGCCTCAAGAGAAACCGACGGCCAAAAGACAGCCCAAGAGGGCCGCATGACCGCCCAAGAGAGTCCCAAGACGGCCCTAAATTGCTGCTCCGGGGACTCAAGAGAGCCCGGAGATGCCCCCAAAACGGCATCCGAAGGCACCAGGTGGTCGAAGAGCGCCCCATGGCGGGCCAAGAGAATCCCAAGAGCCCCAGCCGGCCCTCAGGAGGACCCAAAGACGGCCCCCAAAGGCTCGAAAACCGGCCCACGTTGGCCTCGGAGGGCCCAGCCCCGCTGTTCCCCCAGCAGTTCCACAAAAGCTGCGGGGCCACACAGCCCCCATCGCAGCCACACTTCCGATCGACATTTCATGGCACAGACGTTTCCGAAAAGCAGGGGGCGGCGAAGACTCAGGGAGACTCGCCGTGGGCGTCTCCCATGCATCACCACTCGCAACGTAGGTACATCAGACTGAGCGGATCGAGGTTTGTGGCGCGTACTGGATGATGCGAGGCTGTCAGCTACTGCCGTAATTCCTTCGACGCTTGCTCCAATGCTCATCCACTGAAAGCGCCCAATGTACTGATGCGGGGGCCGAGGAGTTCGAGCTTACCGAAAGCAAAATATTCCAGAGTCCAGGCCAGCGTTGGAAGATTCGCGCCAAATCGCGGCGGACGCGCGAGCGGGCCAAGACAAACGCGCGCCGTCTCGGGCCGCGCTGGAGGCGTCAGAACGGCGTCGCAGCAAAGGAAGGATCGCAGCGGGGCAACGGTTTGGG